TTGGATGGTATTATAGTGGCAGAGCACATGCTTAGACATCGCATCATCATCATCAATGCCACCCTAAAACATAAGGAAAAATTAGCAAAAAATGAACATGTGTGCCTATTAAGAGCCAGTCTCTGAGCAACATGTCAGGGATACAGTGATGAGCAACACAGACACTGCTTTTCCAGAGCCTAGGGTGATGAGGGATACAGGGAAATCAACAGCATGGTAAGTGGCTCAGGGTACTAGATACACCTAGTAGGCATGTCCACTCTACTTGGGAGAAGTGGAGTTGATCAGGGGAAGCTTCTATAGGAAGTGACATCCATGAAGAAATTAGGAGCTGGAGGTGGGGGAAGTGTTCAGGGCAGATGCAATAGCACATACCTTCACCAGCACCCTATCCAAACAGAAGACGCTGTTAAAATACCTGGCCTCTCTCTGCCCACTTAGTCATGCAATCAAGTGATCAATCAATAATCAATCTACACATGCCAGGAACTGTCCTTGTTGCTGGGTGGCATGCACACACCTACACACACGGAAAAACTTTGGCGCTCACAGGAAAGCAATGAGCAAGTTCAACTACATATTTCCACAGGACACAAAGAAAGATTTGAGCCCTATGGGCAAAAAAGGCCACATGAGCTCAGTATCTCTTATCCACTACCTGCACAAAATGATAGAGGATCTCTCAACTACCCATTCCCTCCCTTGGTAATGGAAATAATTAACCTTTTGAGCTCTATCTTTCTTATCTGGTTTAAGTGTTGTAAAAGGCCTTAATGAGTAATCTCCAACTAACATAGAAGGTTTGAGGGGGTGTGCTATTAGCAAAACTTGAATCAACTATGCTTATATACTGTTAATTTTAGGATTGAATGACGACATAATAATTAAACAAAAACTATTTAACCAATGTTTTCATCAGGCCCTCAAAGAAAATGTATTACCAGGCACCTAACTGGAGTCAGCTTTCAAGTCCCAAATACTATATATCCTATATTCTATGAGAAAGATGAAGTGCAGTGTATAAATTACATTTCTGCTGCTCTATAAAACACACTTTTGATGATTTTATGATGTGTGAGATAAAAGAAAAGGTACAATGTGCTTCAGCCAAAAAAAGGGGGAGTAGGATGAGCTTTAATCCCTACAACAAAGTAGTATTTGTGTGCTTGGTCATAAATACACACTAAACACTATTCACCAAAAAAGCAATGAAAATATAATCCAGTATCTGTACATGCCTAGGTAGACTGTGCTCCCTACAAAATAACAGGCAACTTGCTGTCAAAGAAAAGAAGCTGGAGAGTTTCCAAGGAGATCACAGAGCAAAGACAGACCTGTCAACATGCTGTCTCCCAGTTTACAAAACCTACCTTCCTGAAGCTAACAGACAAGAGATGAACTGTCTAGTGATTTAGCCAAAGAAATCTCCTGTGAATGTCATAATAAATTACAGTGAAATGAAAACAACAAAATGAAAAAGGTAGTCAGGGTCTTCCAGTTAGACACGGAGGACTGAACCTCTCTCCTCTTGAACACTCCCTGAAATGGGAGTAAAGGAATAAAACCAGAAGAAATCCATGGGTCAGAGAGGGTGGGAGAGCAGATTAGACAAATGTGCACATCTCTCAAAGAAGGAACGTGGATGGCAAGGGGGAACTGTCTTAGGTTTCCTCTTTCTCTACTCTGCTAAGGGTTTTTCCATTCTGCCAGCAGGGAGAGAAGCCAACAAGAAGCCAGCCAATTCACACTGGAGAACCCTTAAAAGGCTTAAGAATTGAAGGCACCAGATACATCTGATGGCAAGGGTGTGAGGAGCTAAAAACAGGAGGACTGATTGAAAGTAGACCTCCCAGATCCTTATCCCGTGCAGATTTACAATCAAAGTCTAGAGGGAATAAATGACTAAGTCTCTGGTCTTGGGGACATGAGATGCAGCTGGTAAAGTACTTATTGAAAATAATGGGACTTAATACAACTCTGTGAGCTGAGGAGTAAGACCTCTGCCAGCCCCTTCTTTGACTAAGCTCCAAATTCTGGCTGAGGGAGGAGATTAGAAAGAAGGTCCCTTTTTGGGAAAACTGACGGCCTCCACAGGAAACACCTATAGATAAACTAATATCTGAAGGTTTCTCAATGAAATGGCAAGGCCTCTGCCCAATGTGCCAAGTATCTCTCATGTGTGCATGTATACACACACATGCACGCACGCACACACGAGTTCTAAGAGGCTTTCTGATGATAAATGTAACTCTAAATATGAAGTCAAGATTCATCAGACATTCTGACATAAAAGACGGAGACCAAAACAATCATAAAGAACTCAGGGGAAATAGTCACGCTGCAGGGAGTAGAAAAAAATTGTGGGGAAAAAAAACCCTATAACATTTTCAGAAATAAACAAATCTACTGGATCCTTGAAACAAAACCAAAATGCTATTACAGATGAATATTCAGAAAATAAAATAGAGCTTTTGGAAATTCAAGAATGTAACAGAAATTAAAATTTCAGAACTGGGACATTAAAATGAGCAAATCTACCCTGAAAATATAACCAAACAATGAAGATAGTATATAGAAGGAAGAAGATAAGAAACCTAGAGGACCAATCCAAAAGGGCCAACACATGACTAACAGGCATTCTAAATAGGTACAGAGACAGAAAAACAGAGAAAATAAAAGAAGGAAATTATCTGAGAAATAACTCAATGTAACTTTCCAGGGAAAAAGGACCTGAGTTTCAATGCAGATGAGGGCCATTATGTCCTCTACACAATAAATGAACAAAGGCACCCCCTGCCTCTCGCAAAGTACAACACTTTGACGTTTCTGAGCATTGCGGACAAAAGCTTACAGAGAAAACAGGTCGCTATAAAGGATAAGGAGTTCAGCTGGTGCATGGCTTCTCAATACCAACAATGAAAGCCAGAAGACAATAGAGCAATCCCTCAAAACTTCTGAGGGAGTATGGGTTCCAGCCTATAAATCTATACCTAGCCAAAATGTCAGTCAAGTATGTGGGTGGAATAAAGACATTTTCAGAGAAACCGGTCTCAAAAAATTGACACCCCATTCATGCTTTCTTAGGAAGTATCTAGAGAATATAGCCCACCAAAGTGAGAGAGAGGAAATTAATCAAGGAAAGACATAGTCCAGAAGACGGCAAAGGGAAGCCCCAGGATGACCACTGTGGATACAGCCTAGAGAAAGCAACCAGTGACAACTAGAGCAGGATGACTGGGGCTCCAGGAAGAAGGCCT